TCTATGAAATGATGAGTTGTAGTTGTTTTCAAGGTCTGGTAGACGATCAACAAATTTAGTTGTTTCATGGTTTGTCATAAATCTATGAATTTTTTCCAAAATTGTGCGATTGAACCTCTCAACCACACAAGATTTGAGTTCTGACTGAACTGAAAATAATTTTATCCCAAGACTTTCAAGGAATTCTTCAAAATGAACGTTATAAAACTCACGCCCTAAATCAACTTGTATGCGAAGAGGCAGTCCTTTGCTTCTTTTAAAAATCTTTTCAATGCCTTTCATTACAACTAGTCCACTCTTATTTTTGAGCGGTTCAATATATCCTCGCTTGGAAAAAATATCTATTGCCGTGAGCAAAAAATGAGTGTTGTAATTCGTCTTTGAATATTTAGAAACGTCCATCAGGTCCATTCCCCATTGATCGTAGATACGCTTAACGTACACCACTCGTCTCGGAAAAATTTTTCTACGCGACCGATGTAACGTATAAGCAGGAATAGTTTTCAAAACGTTTTCGATTTCTTGACGAGATTCTTTTCGTTTTCCAGACTTTATGAAACCTCCTAGTCCGCTAAAGGAGCTTGGCTTCTTGACGTTTAGGTAGGAGGACTTAATCCTTGCTGCACTTGCTGAACCCATTATCATAACTGCCTAATATATAAAACCAACGTTTGCAGATATAGGGCATAGTCATGATAAGGACGCTGACTGATTATGGCACCGGAAAATCGTGTTAAGCTCCATGCTTCTTACTTGCATCGTCTATGCAGGAGCAAGCCAAAAGACAGAAAACTGCTTATAAATAAAGCAACAGGAGAACAAATTCGTTCCATTTGTGAACTTTGCCTCAATCTAAACAACAGAAATATTCCTGTGACAAAGTCTCAGAAAAATAAATTATTGCGACACAAGACCGCCATACAAAAACTTTGTTTAAAGTCACCAATCAAAAGTAAAAAGAAGTACTTGTGTCAAAAGGGGGGCTTTCTTCCAGTACTAGTTCCAATTTTAACCACATTGGTCGGTGGACTTGTGGGGAAATGGCTAGAAAAATGAAGGTTGTACCAGAAAGTTGGTACAAGAAAATCCTGGCGCTGAATTCACAACAAGATGTTGACTTGGATCTTGAGGAGAAACTGAAAGCTGAAAAAACCAACATTTTTGGAAACTCTACAATACCTGACGAAGTAAAGATCTTGCTTTTGCAAAATTTAAATCGTCAACTTATTGATAACAAGAGACAGGATGACAAAAAGCCACTACTTGTGAAGAATGCAGAGAACGAAACTGCTACTGAACAGCCCTCAACAGTGATTTCAAAACCAACACGTGAAGTTTCGGGTACTACTCTAGATGCGCTTTTAAATAACACAACTGGACGGGGAAGGAAAATTCTCGACTTTTTTCAAGCAAATGGTGTAAAAATAACTGCTGATAAGGTCATTGTAAATGATGTGACCTATACGTTGAAGAAGATGAACGCGCTTCTCGTTGGATTATGTCATGGATTCTCGGCAAAATCCACTCTCAAATCGGATCCATCAATGTTGAATTTGCTGCAGTTTATAAAGTCCAAGTCCCCTCCAGCCGATCTCTTTCCAACCACCGTCAACCAATTTATTGTCAAGCAGAAGGGGAGTGGTCTGAAAAGAAAGCAGCTGAAGAAGAAGAAGACAAAGAAGCAGAGTGCATGGATTCAAAAGAAAGTGCACGAACACAGGATTAACAAATTGACGAGGAAAATGCAAAAGTGGAACCCATTTTAATTTCGTACAAAATTTATTGAATTTTGATGAATTTTCTGGTTACAACATTTTTCTGCTAAACAGACTCTCGTTTGTATACTGTAGTGTTCCGGCAGATAGGGAAAATGATTTCATGTCTCCTCTTCGCATTGGATAGCATGCAGGTTGACCCTTTTCCATTAATCTTAAATGTCCCATTGTAATTGATGGAAGTAGAGTATGCTTTTGGACAACAAATTTAGCTTCCATAATGTGAAGTTGTGCTGCATCTTGTGCTGATCCGGAGGTCTTGCTTAGCAGACAAAAACTGTCTGGTGCTCGATATAGTACAATTTTTATATCAATTCCTGGGATGCAAAATCGGTTTTGGTTAAATATATCCGTCTTCAGTTTTCCACACAGTTCAAACACTTTGCTATTATTTGTCAGTTTCTCTCGAGTTTTCCACCCTTCATCTCCTGTGGTTGGATCTGCTTCTTTGTGATACAGAGCAGCCATTGCTTGAGTCTTGGTATACTCTTTGCCAAACGATAGCAGAGTCTCCAAGTAAGCCTTGTATGGGTATAATGAAGTTGGGGAAGTGATTTGCGTATCATTAAAATAAATAGCAACTTGACTAAACATTGAATGTAGAAAATTGTTAACTGGCGCAGTATCAGTTTGAGCAGCATCCCTATCAGCTCCCTTGCTATCTACAATCTTGCAGCGAATATAGAGTTGTGTTTCAGAAAAGTCAATGTATTGTGAATCATTTCCTTGAATAATAAATGTCAGAGGAGTGGATCGATCTGAAATCTTTGTTATTGGATGATAATCAACTCGGTGTGAGCTGGCAAGAGTCAAGTCGTAGCCGGGTTCAGAGAATAGATCAGTCTCTGACCGAATAAAGTTAACAATTTGCTTTGGTTTAGCCATTTTCTCAATCAGACAAGGATGGTTTGGAAATAAGCTTTCGTCTTGACGATTTCTTCTTCTTCTTCTTCGTTTTCGACTTTGATTTTAAACGTTTGAGAGGTTTACGTTTTGGCTTTCGTTTGATTTTACGTTTTGTTGGTTTACGAGTTCTTGCTTGACGTTTTCGAACTCTCCTTCTTCGTCTAATCCTACCACCAGACTGGTTGAGTAAATTCGTTCCAGCCTCTTTTAAGGCACTCATTGCATTCGAACGCAAAGAATCTTTGAAAGATTGCTTATTATTTATAACATCCATTGCGATATTTTTAACTGCAGACTTTATGGGAGGCACAACGTGTGGTAGCAGTGATTTTACAAAAGGTGGTAAACGACTCGCTATGGCACCAAAAACGCCACCAAGACCAGCTCCCTTTTGTCGATAATAACTTGCCTTATAAGCCAATGATCCTCCAATCTGAGGTTCGTAGGCCTGGTAATAATCATCATAATCGTTTTCTGAATACATTTTAGAAACGTTTTCTTCTAAAGTGGAGTGTAGCACTAAAACTTCCAAATAAGAATGGAGGAGGTTCACCAAACTAGTTCCTTATATAGATGTGAATATAGTCCATGGATGGTTTTGCCACTGCGACATATTGTAAATTGTTGAACGTTTTTGAAACAATTTTATCAATATCAGTATAAGGATTTACAAACGATCTTAGGATTGGTGCTGTGGTATCGCCCACATGCTGGTTTTCGACAATGTCACAATAAATATAATATCTCGAGTTATTCGATTTAAAGTTGAATTTATAATCTGCTTGTAAGCTTGAGTTACAATGAATTTGATGTGGGAATCCAAGTATGTTGGCCATTTGCGTATTAAATTGAAAATCGTAGACTACATCTTCTTCAACTGTCCGAGTGGATAAAAGAGTGTATCCGTTGTAATGTTTAAACAAAAAGTCTTTTGTAGACATTGCTTCAAGTAAATCGTCAAACGTTTCGATATTAGTATTGTTACAAACTGTTATCCATTCATCCTCAGTTTTATTCTCAGAATACGTATTATTTTTAAACAAGACGAATGGCACAACATTGTTATAAATTGTTTTGTTTTCATTTACGGGGCTATTAATGTTATTATTTTTTATTAACACTTTGTACAATTCATCGCCCTTTCCAAAACGAATTGGCGTAGATGGGTAGGCACATTCTACCAAGGCAACTTCGTACGAGTTGGGCTCCAAAATTATTGGTGAGCATAACCAATTTCTAAAGCTTGATATTGTATTATCTTGAAAGTGAGAAAATGAGGAGTTGCTCTCTGAAAGGCATTTTTAAACTTGGAGACTCTGCGAGTAACTAAGAGCACAATAAGTATTACTTGTCTATATAGAGGTAAAATGAGTTGTTTATTGATTTTTAAGATAAGTGGGATAATTGAAGACAATTGGGGTAATTTGGGATACTTCAGACAAATGGGGTAAATTGAGACATTTTGATAATTTGGGAAAGTATAAATTGGGACATCACGTCTCAAACGTCCCGCCCACATTTCTTGTCAACGCATGTACATGCAACTGGAAGATTTTTACCCATAAGAAATACATTGTTGGGGTAATTTGAAATTTGGGGTAATTTCGGTCAATTGGGGTAAACTGAGTCACCAGGGGTAAACTAAGATATATGGGGCAATTTGAGAAATTTTGGGGTAATTTAAGTCGTCCCGCCAATATTTATTGACACATGAAAACACATCGGTAAAAGTTTGTTAATAACCCTTAAGAAAATACATTGGCGCAGTCAAATCCTATCTCCCCAAGTTATGGGAGTAACCTTCTTTTGGCCCATAAGAAAATACATTTCATTGGGAGGAACCAATGGCTATCTCACCACGTTATGGGAGTAATAATAGCCTTCTTTAGGCCCATAAGAACATACATTGCCCTATCTTACCGTGCTATGGGAGGAATCATAGCCATAATTACTACTAGAGAGTTGAATTTTTGTACATATGTACATACACTCGAAGCCAAGGAGTATTTATACATACTGTCTTCAAAATCTGAAGCATCAATTTAATACCATTCAGGAGTTATTCAAGATTTAACTCGTTCATTTTCAAGGAATATACCCTGCATAGTAAAAATAATCCAGCACAAAGCAAACATCAAGTGGTGACTCTAACAATTTGAAACAACCTCCATGGTAGTAAATTTATAACCAAATTGCGTCAAATTACTAGAAAAAACTTAGTATATCTCGAGGGCAACCATTAACTCTCCACAAACCTCTGTATTGCACCCATTAAATTAATTTCTTGTTTCTACAACGCGATATAATTTATTCGCTTACGTCAACAATGCTGGACCCAGCCAATCCACGTAGAGCGTAGTAATAGCGGCAATATATTTCCACACTTTTGTTGAAAGGAGTGTTCACAGATTTGTATTCCTTTTCTGTCATTAGAAATCATTAAAAAAACGACGTTAGAAGTGAGAACATTCCAAAAATATAAAAGATAAAAGTGAGAAACATAAAAGATGTCCACTAACGTTGCGGACTGCCGTAATAAAAAGCTCAGAACTTTATACACAGTTAATGTAATTTCAAAAAAATTGCATATATTTACTACCAAAGGGTCTGGATAGTCATACAGTTAAAATTTTAATGATTCAATTCCGCTGTCTGCTACAGATTGCATTTTCTTCAACTTTCTTCAATTTTCTTCTTATGATCAGTAAGAGCCTTTCTATTTAGATATGCGAAAATTTTTGATCGAGTAAGCCTTCGCGCATTTGCGCTGAGCTCTATGATTGATATGATAGCTAAATATAATATTGGTGATACATTATAATTTGCTGTCTGCATCTAATCCTTGTGAATTACACGCCCACGAATCCCTATCGTTTGTTAGCTGAGGTGTTTTACATCGAATTTATAAAAATTTCGCTTTACCCATATCCGCGAATGTGATTGAATCGTTTGTATTCCGAAGAATGCCTTCATTAGGCAAACGTGCAAATTTAAATTGTTGATTGGCCTTGGTCGTTAAATTATTTTTGACGTGTGTGATATTTATAGAATTTAGCAAGTAGTCCAGAAAGTATGTCGCATTCCACACGATGTCTCGTTTTTCGGAGATTTCCTGAAATACAAAAAAGCCTTTATCAATTCTTTGCCATAACAGAAAGTCCATAATTAAACGTTTGACCACACTTAGAATTTAATTACTATGCCACGTACAGTTTTTTATATTTGAATAAATTTTAAAAACAAAAATGGGGTTTTAAATGAGCTATCAGTAATACTATATTTAAATAGAAGGGACTCCAGCCAACATTTTTGAAATAGGAACTGGTATTTTCTGAAATTAGAATTAATTACTTTGGTTGAAGAATTAAAGTATTGGTATTCTAAAGGTAAAGTTGCCGGTACGTTGTTAATAATTTTTTGACAATTTTCGACTTTGAATCTTTTTTACCGCAATTGCATAGGCGCTCAGATTTTTTTTTAATTTACCGCCACCTGGCGCTCTACATTTGTCTCCATGTTAAATGAGATAATCCTTACCTTCCAATCAATCGGATTAAATGCGCAAGCCTCCAAACATTTTCCAGGTCCACCTTCTACTGAAGTATTCACGAAGTTCTTGACCGAATGTAAACATTTCTCGTAAGGTTCTCCTGCTTGCAGTGAACTCATCTGAAACCCAAGCAAATCATCTACCATCCACGGCAGTGTTTCGTTCCGGCAACACCGGAGTGTTTGGTGATAGCCAAACACAACAGGAAGACGGGGGCAGTTCTAAATTTGGCACAAGACATATTTAAAATAGTACTAATATCTGTACACTTAATTCAATTAATGTGACCTTTTTGTATTATTTATCACGGAATTTGGGTATGGGGTATTTCCATACTCACTTTTTTTACTGGATGAGGTAAAATTCACAATTTTTAGAGTGCGTTAAGTTTTCTTGCAAAAGGTATGATGTGCACATGATAAAGCTTGAAAGGCCTAATACTTTAAACCTTAGATTCCCAACCAAAAATTTATCTTTCTTGTTGCAACTATCGTAATTAAATGTTTTTAAAGGCAACCTGGTAAACAAGCACTAATTTACGAAAGTTACTGTATTTATCACGATGACTTAAAAACCCTCAACCCACACAGACACCTATTTAGATGATAGATAACCATTTCACGTTATTTCTCAAAACGCTACCTTTCCTTCCAATTTATCGCACACACGATTCAATCTAAAATTTCAACACCTGAATTCCCTTTCTTTATACCAAATCCTAGTACTATCTTTCTAAATACGCGTTTACCAGCTGCTCAATTAACACACTCACCGACCACGGAAACTCTGTCTTTTCTTTCCTGACCATCTTCCAATGAACCTTGATAGCTTCCTGTGATGCGCATTTCTACTTGAATTTTAAAAAAATCTATGATTCTCCACGATTAACAGTATATCTTTCAATGGATTATGTATTCTTCAACTGATACCTTTTCTATGTTTGAGTAATAGCAGTTCTCCAGTATTTGAAACTTCTTGTAGAATTCAGACTTCTTTGCTGCCTCTGGTTATTTCAAAAAATTAGTAATCCTAAGACCAAAATATTTTTCACAATTTATGGCATATCCAAACCTGGACACATGGATTTGCCTCTGTCGAGAATTGCTGCCAGGATGGTTTTATTCGTCGTGTAGTTCACCGTTCTTTCCTTCCAGGAGACAAAGTCCGAGTAATTTATGGTCTTTGTGCCGTTCTAAAATTCAATTCTAACTTTCAGTAATGTCGAAAATTAATAAAATCATAGATAATAAAATTTTTACTTACATTCTGTTGTCGATACATGCAGGCAGCTAGTTTCCACTGAAATAGAAAGTATATACATAAGTCTTGAAAATTCAGTATTACAGAATCATGTCATTCTTAAAACTTATGTAGCTTCTCATTCAGTTCAATAAAAATTGGTCAAAACTATGTTCTAAAATAATAAAAGTTTGTATGCGGCTAATAAATCAAACTATTTCTCATTAGTCCTGTAACTTAAATACGTAGTCCTATTAACCTGCTTAGTAAAAAATCGTGTTTTCATCATCTTAAATAAAATATGTACTATTTTGTCCCTTGAAAAACCGGAAATTGAACAAAACTAATGATATATAGGTAAGCAATATCGCAAAGAACCAATTCAAAATAATTTAATGGGTAACACAGAAATTGGTTCGAATATTACATACTCGTCTTACGTCACTTATAAAAAATTGTAGTATAACTTTTGTACCAGGTAAACTGAAATATTATCCGACATATAAGCAGACGATACTTCTTTCTGACACGCAAAATAATGGCTGTTTGATATCTTGGAAATAGATTTTCGGGAAAATCTGGTCGCTTCCATTTCAGAAATCTCATTTTCACTTATTTGCGTCCCATTGCAGCAGAAGGTGGGCGGGCTGTCACGAAAAGGGTATCCGTCATATGTTGAACACGTATTGCCCCATTCTCCCGCCACGAAGGAAAATGCTATTCCCGAAAATATAAAGTAACCCCGAACTAAGGTGAGTAACGATGTTAAGTTTACAAACATTGTTCCCATAATTTGGGATTCGTTTTGGATTTTTTGAATACTCTGTCCTGCTCTAGAGCCATTCTAGAAACTAAAGGTTTGTTTTGTCAGTTGCATGTCTGAAAATAAACAGGTAGTATCTACCCTCCCAATTTAACATAAATTCATAAATATACGTGTGTATAGGTATGGCTAATGAACACGGCAAGTGCATAATAAAGGAAATTGATAATACATCATCGCATGTCATTAAATATCCAGTAGGAAAATAATTCTTGTTTGGAATAATATTGAGTTTTACAAGGAAGGGTTTAATTATCTCACGCGACATCGACATGATCTAAGCCGGACAATTTATCTTTTCAGCCAATGTCAGTTTCCTAAAATATGTACCTATGTAGGTAAGATAGGAAAATATACATTCCATGGCATCCAATTCTCTATTAAATAATTTTCATTTTATTTGTATACACCACTTTGGAATAACGACTCCCACTACCAGCAGTGAGCTTATCCCTGTTTTGCATGATATTTGCATGATATTTATAATGGTGCATGGCTAGATTGCGGCAGGGTTCTACACGAAGAGCGTTTAATAACGAAATTTTCAAGCATGAAAAAGCGATAAACAACAATTTTAACAAAATGTAAATTTACTGTCAGTTGTTTACTTTTCAGCTAACCTAAAAAATGTAAATTTATTTCCAGGAAATTCCTACAAACTATGTACATACTTGTGTCATAATTTATTAATGCAGAGGTGTTAATAAAGATAATATAATGATACATCATTGATGAGACACTTACAACTTAAATAAATAAATCTACATAACACATGAAAATTTGACCTATTCATTCACACGATATTTTATAGCAAAATTGCAATTAAATAAACAACGTCTTACTTATCAAAACAGAATGTATGGATTCTTTTTCATCGGCTTAGCACTAGCTGGTGCCTTCACTGCCCCACTCCTACAAGGTTGGAAGGGATCTTTCTCTTTCCACTTAATTCTTTCAATGAAAATCTTCTCCGCCGCTGTTTTCACCTCGTCGTCGTCAACATAAATCATGTCCACTTCCAGCGGCGGTAAGGTCACGAAGTTGACGATGTGTTCCACCATCTCGAGAGGAAGCTTTGACAACAGGATGCACTTCACTTGCTCCAAGTACCACCCCTTTTGTTCACACGGGACCCTGGATGTGGATAAAATCTTGGTCCCAGGATCGACCAAAAGAAAAGTTAACACTTTCTGATGGCCTGGCTTCGTGAAATCCATCAATTTGATTGGGCTGTTGTGACTGGATAGAGAATTTTTGTAAACTATGCTGCGACCTTGCGTTATCTCAATTTCCATAGGGGGAAGGCCCTGCTGTTCAGTGCTGAGATTGGCCCTGTTGTAGGTACCAATGGCTGGAGCAAGACATAATTTGGACGGGGTGATGTTATCTTTTCCATAATAGTACCTTCCCACTGCAACGATTCGCTCGTTTTTCATCCCCTTGACATCCCAGTCTTGATTGTATTTGCAAGTCGTAAATATAAGAATGAATGATAAAGTTTGTATCATGGTTGAATTTCCAAACACTCTTATTGACTAGATAGAAATAGATAGAAGCAAATCTTTAGCATCGTTTTATGACTACCTATGTAAATTGCATTCTTATCTTGTAGCCACTCCTACTATTCCGGCCTCCATCGACTGGAGAGATTACGGGATCGTCACTCCCGTAATCGGATCAAGGTTCCTGTGGCGCCGGGTGGGCATTCAGTGTTGCGGCGGTTGTTGAAAGTTATATCGCCAAAATTACCCGGAAGCTCGTTGACCTCTCCCCCCAGCAATTGGTTGACTGTAAGATTACATGGAATTTGAAAAAGTTCGCGTTTATCCGTATTTCCAATCCGTTTTACTTAGGGGTGATCCATAAATTATGTCACGCAAAAAAGCCATTTTTTAGGACCCCCCCATCCCTGTTGTCACGCCTTTGTCACGCTCGTCGTGACCCCTCCCCCCCTCTTGTCACGTCACGCCTGAAAATGTTAATTTTTCCTATACCAGGAATAAGATACATATACATATCTTCTATAAATGAGGTGCGAGTAGTAAATATGGGGTAATTAGTATTACCCTCAAAACTGAGAGAGGAGTCTTATGTACTGAGTCACCAGGATTTTGCATAAATTAAATTTATTTGGCCGATAATTCATGAAGCCTTTGTCAAAGAAGATGTAGTACAAATTGCGGTTGAAACGAAATATTTCGCGTTAACTGAGTGAAACCTGTGTAATTTTACAAGATAGCAACAATTAAATATTAGCTCTATTTATACTCATATCACACCCGTGATATAGTGAAAAGTCATAGCGTGATAGATTTGTGGATAACATTTCCAAAATTCCTATTCATTTTTTATTATTTTCAGTTTTTAAGAGTTTCAAATAAGTTGAAAAAATCCGCCAAATTTTTCAGTTTTCTTATATGTTATTGCGATACATTTTTTTAATTGTTAACATTTTTGAATCATGCAGTTGTCTTCAAATAGTACACATTTTTGGAACCATAAAAAATAGGGTCGTCTTGTACGAATTTTTTAAATTGTGCAAGTTTTTGGAGATTTAGTAATGTTTTTTAATTGTTAAATGAATTTTTGCAAAATTATGACGATTTTTTGAAATTGTGCAGACTTTATGGCATCATGAATTAATTTTTTTTTGTAATTTAGAAATAATTGGATATTGTGCAAATTATTTAAAGGTTTGAACAAAATTTTGGAAACTTGGTTGAAAATCTCAAAATCTAAAACTTGATTGCTTTGGATGCAAAGGTTTGATGTTCAGTTGGACATATATTTCAAAATAATTACGAAACTTTAGTTTAGTCATAGTCGGAGAATTAAAATGTGAATTAAAGTTTGCATTAAGTTAGGTCTGGAAAACGTGATGTCACGGATCGGCCGAACCCCCCCCCCCCTCCCTATATGTCACACTTTGTCACGGATGCTTGGAACCCCTCCCCCCCATCCTCAGCGTGACATAATTTATGGACCACCCCTTAGGCGTCACATCAAGCAACGGATGTAGCGGGGGGTATCCGCACGAGGCTTTGGAGTACATCCAAAAAAATGGGGCGGAGAGTTGGGCTGACTACTCGTATACTGGCGTAGCTCAATCCTGCACGTACAATGCGAGCAAGGTGGTGGCAAGAATTGGTCGTATTGGCGACATTCTGGGTAACGAGAATAAAATGAGGGCCCAAATCGGGAGGAACGGCCCGGTGAGAATTACATATTCAATTAATAAATTATTCCAGATTTGCGAATCTCAACCAGCTGGTTGTTACCCTTTTTTATCAAACACATTTTTGTCGCCTCACGAAACCCACCCATCGAAACAAAATAATTAGAAATGGTTTTTCATAAATGCGCTAAATTGTTTGTACTTAGTAAGGCAGCAAAAGAAATTAATTGATGCACAATATTAAGTTTAACTTCCTTCAAAAGCCAAATGTGTTTGTCATCTCCATTCATTTTAAGACAATTGAGCACATTTTTTACCAATTTCCCATGAGTATTAAGGTTGAAGAAATTTGCAGTTTAGGCCTTTGATAATCCTACCTGTTCAAATTTTATTTTCATTCAAACATCAGTCATTTCGATTTCTGATTTTCCTTCCAATTCAGTGATTTTCGTTCAAATTCATTTCATTGAACTTCATTCCAACATCGACCCATCTGTTAAGCAAAGGGTGAAAAATGAAAGGAGTGAAAAATCATTCATTCACAGTCATTCATCCGAAATGATGGAATTTTTCAGTTATTTTCAGTAAAATGGCAGGAAATTCATTTTCATTCACCATCATAATCACTCAAATGAATGAAAGTGAACAGGTATGTATGGTGGTAATACTATGGTAGAGGCATTTTAATTAAGCACAATTTAGATTATATCTTGCTAAGAGGCTTATTGGCCGATCTTGTAATGCTTAACAACATTGAAAATTGAAATTCGGATTACTTTACCAATTGTTGACCGATTTTCAAAATTTCGACTGTTTTGGAAAGCTCAGGTCAATTGGCGAAATATATATTTCCAGATTTTTTAAATTCGACCACACCCCCTCGAAATTAAGGTCACAAGGTCAAAAAATGCATAAAATACAATTAATGCATACAGCGGAATTTGAAAGCGCAAAAATCGAGTTTCATGTCGAAAAAATACCTCGACCCCCTGGACACTCTTGAACGATGTTCAAGAGGTCACATGCCCCACCCCCAGTGGGTGTGGCCGTAGGCGCCTTTTAGATTTCCATGAAACCATGTCATGTGACATATCATTTTATTCAGGACGATGAGGACATCACGACTGAATACAGAAAATTCAAGAACCACACCCCTAGTGGGCGTGGTCGTTGGCGACTTCTGGATTTTAACGAACCCACGTCATGTGACATATCATTTTTCTCAGCTCGATGAGTACATTACGATTGAATACTTAAATTTACGAACCACGCCCCCAGTGGGTGTGCTCGTTGGCGACTTCTAGATTTTAACGAACCCACGTCATGTGACATATCATTTTTCTCAGCTCGATGAGTACATTACGATTGAATACTTAAAATTTACGAACCACGCCCCCAGTGGGTGTGGTCGTTGGCGACTTCTAGATTTTAACGAACCCACGTCATGTGACATATCATTTTTCTCAGCTCGATGAGTACATTACGATTGAATACTTAAAATTTACGAACCACGCCCCCAGTGGGTGTGGTCGTTGGCGACTTCTAGATTTTAACGAACCCATGTCATGTGATATATCATTCTACTCAGCTCGATGAGGACAATACAGTCAGGTGCAAATCTTTACAGCCACCCTGATTATCGTCATAACTTTTGATCGCGTCATCAAAAAATTATTAAATTAGGATATAATATGTATAACACTATCCTACATAACTGGCAGGAGCCAAGTTGAAATACAACAGCACACGATTTTTTTCCTACAAACGTATTAAATAGGGGGTGCAAAACTTTACAGCCACCTGGTTTCTATTTCAGATTTATTCTTTGATTTCT